GGAGAGTGGAAGGATATGGGCCTGGAGAATGCCTCACCAAGAGTTTTAAAACGTGATACGAAACACAATCCTCAATTTCAGATATTAGTGTGCTATAAAATTCAATCCTGTTATTTGGTTCAAAGATCCAGACAAGACACTTGTGACGGCGGGTGCTGTTGACTGGCTGCTTTTCCCCTGGTCATTATTCAAAATTGAGGATGGATATTCCTGAATCCTAAAGATTTCTTACCTCACGTTCGCATAAGGCGCCATCATGTTGAAATTTCAAACTAATTTGTTAGGCGGTGTTTCGACCTTAGTACCATATAAGTTATCACTTCTGATAACACAATTCTAGGAAGTTTATGAACTTGTGAATAAAATGTTTCGCTTTAAAAATATTTCATTTTAACGACCCACAACCACTCGGTAAGAGTAAAGATATTCGAAACAACACGCGGAAATGCATAACTTTGTATACATTTCTCATTTGTGCATAAACTGTTCATCTATCACTGGCAAAATATCTCAATATTACTGGCTTAAAACTCGTGTCCCTGAAGTAAACAGTTTAATCTACATAGTTTTCGAGCACCATCTTCATATGAACATATAGGCAACGAAAAGAAAGACATTAAAATCTAAATCCTGTTGAATTCTAAGGACCCTCTTTTCATTTTGCAGTGATCGATGCATACAATAAATTCTACCTGTGCCTACTTGCTCTAACAATATCTTTACAAGTTAAATTATATATATGGGTTTTTATTCTTATAGAAGCGTGCAATGTCTAAACTTAAAATAGCTAATGTACTCTAGAGGGTTTGAAAATTGTGTTTCAGAATTACAAAATACCGTTAAACATTTAAATGGACAGAAAATGAGAATGACATCAATATGACTTTAGGTCATTGGTTTTGAAACATTCACAGAACATTGGACAAATAATGAAACCACCTGTTAACCAAAACCGTTTCGTATGGCGTTAGGACACTAACCCTTCAGAGCTGCAGTTTTTCGGTTTTTCATACAAAAATTATTCCAAATCCTTTACGGTTATGGAGCAGAATAACTGTTTCAAGAATAACCTATATCGGTTTATTGGACTAGAATCTGATAAGTGGGCAGGTTAAGGTAAGTAATAGAGACTCTGTAATGCTCAGATAACCTAACTGTCTGTAACAAATCTTTTAATCCATTGTCATCTTGATAGGCTCCATCATCAGCAAAATAATAATGATAATCAAGTATTTCTAGTGAAACGCTGTTACTCTGTAGCAATAAGTTGTGGAAGATCCCATAATAAAACTTCCTTCGAATTGCAATCAAGCATTCGGGTTATTCGTGGAATTTCTGCACACCTGCACTCTTCTATTTAGTTTCAAAGGTTAGATATTTATTCATCCTCATTAGATTACTTTCCCTTTTTCCTCGAGTTCACAGTTTCATGCGCAAACTTGTGTTTTTTTTTTGTTTTTTTTTAAGTATGTAGTCTCATTACCAGGGTATCCGGTTTTACACTATTATATGGTTTTATGTGATAATGATCAGGGTATCCGGTTTTACACTATTATATGGTTTTATGTGATAATGATCAGGGTATCCGGTTTTACACTATTATATGGTTTTATGTGATAATGACCAGGGTATCCGGTTTTACACTATTATATGGTTTTATGTGATAATGATCAGGGTATCCGGTTTTACACTATTATATGGTTTTATGTGATAATGATCAGGGTATCCGGTTTTAACTATTATTATGGTTTTATGTGATAATGACCAGGGTATCCGGTTTTACACTATTATATGGTTTTATGTGATAATGACAGGGTATCCGGTTTTACACTATTATATGGTTTTATGTGATAATGATCAGGGTATCCGGTTTTACTCTATTATATGGTTTTATGTGATAATGATCAGGGTATCCGGTTTTACTCTATTATATGGTTTTATGCGATAATGATCAGGGTATCCGGTTTTACACTATTATATGGTTTTATGCGATAATGATCAGGGTATCCGGCTTTACACTATTATATGGTTTTATGTGATAATGACCAGGGTATCCGGTTTTACACTATTATATGGTTTTATGTGATAATGATCAGGGTATCCGGTTTTACACTATTATATGGTTTTATGTGATAAGTTTTATGTCCAACGTTTTATTCTGTACATACGTTGTTGTTGTTGCCTTCATGTTTCTTTTGACGTTGTGATTCAATAAGCAATGGTGCTGGCCACACACTTCTTGTTTTTGTTCATTCACCACTGTTATTATTCAGGTGTAACAGTTTCAGCCCATGCTAGCATGGCCTTAACGTCTGTTGCTGTTTGAACATCAATAGTCTATATATCGTCTGTGTTTTGAAGTCTGTGTGATCCTATGTAGAACTGACAACTGAACATAGCATACACACACATACACATATGATACCTGGCAATGAGGTTGTATGTGAGTGGCATTCTTTTTGTCCAGGCTTGTCTACTTATAGGAAGGTTTGGTTTTTGAATTTCACGCCAAGCTACACGAGGGCTATCTGCACTAGCCGTCCCTAATTTAGCTGTGAAAGACTAGAGGGAAGGCAGCTAGTTAACACCACCCACCGCCAGCTTTAGGGCTACTCTTTTACCAACGAATAATTGGATTGACCGTCACTTTATAACGCCCCCACGGCTGAAAGAGCGGGCATGTTTGATGGGACGGAGATTCGAGCCTGCGACCCTCAGATTGCGAGTCGAGCGCCATAACCACCTGGCCTTGCCGAGCCCTTATAGGAAATGAGTCGTATAGGTATTGATACTGGCAGTAGCATTGTTTTTCCCATCCTTTGTATCTTATAATGGTCACCAATTTTGGAATGAGGGAGAACGTCACCAAAACTATTGTCGAAAAGCTGATTCTCTTACCATTGTTTACAAACCAAGATAAAGTCATATATTTTTTTTAATAAGAATTTTATTGTTACCAGGCTTTTCACAATTTCAATATTAATTTGCACCCTTTACTTATTTAAATGATAAATACATCATACAATTATTTAATTTGTAGTGAATTGCAAAATCTTGTATGGGAGATTAGTTGTCAAAGCACGAATCTTGTGTATCTCTTTTACGTTTTTTTTCTTTATTTTTACTCAAGGGCCTCCAACCATGATAACGTTTTTCCATTAAACATTCTATTCATCCTCGTTTGGTTGAGAGTTTTTGACACGGTTGTTTTCTTTAGTGGTTTCCCGTAAGACGACACCTACTGATTTAGAAATGGAGAAACTGTGAAATGTCATTCAAATCTTTTCCCAAAGCAACCAGAATGCCAATTTCTTAGTTGCCATGGCAGCCATTCCACGAGCTTCAAAACCTGCCGTCTTCGAAGTTATTTATTTCTGTAAGTAAAAATTTAATTTTTCTTGTAATAGCCTATCAGAGCGCGTTTTTCATGTATCAAATTGAATTTAAATTGTTTATTAACTTATACATCTACTATTCCACCTACCCGAAACATTAAAATGATTAATTAGCATAACTTGAGAATTTTACACTTCTTTGTAAATTTAAGAAGAACTTGAGTAAAGAAAAGTAACTATGACAGAAGTTGAAAGCAAATTATAAACCGAAGTATGTAATTAAAAAAAAGTCTATACGAACATGTTCTGGTCATCAGTATATGGTTGACGGTCTAGAAGCTTCTGCTGGCCCAATCCCATAAGATCACTATTATTAGTGTCAAAGGACGTATTTTCATGGTTTCTTTCCAAAAACGTTATGGGGTGTGTTGGACTTCCAGAAGAAACGAGGACAATATCATCCAACAATGCGTCTGGATGGGCGATCTTAGATCCTGAAATTTCCTGGTTACTATGTTCATCTGCCACATTAGAGGTATCTTGGACGATGTGTTCCTCCGAGACGTAACTGAGTTCGCTGCAAATATTGGACTTTGAAGTTGAATCTTCTCTCCAAGAGACATCTGGTTGTAGGTTGTTGGGAGAATTTACCCCCAGTAGACCTTTTATTGGAGTCGTAATAAATTTGGAAGTTTCTTGCCCTGGGGGTAACGTGTGCAGGCGTACGCTGGGTACTGTCTATTTGGACAATGGAAAACAGAAATTATATTAAGTGTACATTATTTGTCGAAAAACTGACGATTATATTTTCATGTACAGAAGAAGCGCCGCAAGGGAAAATGATGATGAATGATATTCACGTGTATTTATTTATTTTTTACTTACTAGAAATACTTATCTCTTGATATATTCTATTTTCTATCATCATTCACATTATTTTGCAGTATGAATAGCTGCTTTTTAAGTTTGTCAACTGTTTGTTTTTGTAGTGTGAATAACTGCTTCATAAGTTTGTCAACTGTTTATTTTTGTAGTCTGAATAAGTGCTTCTTAAGTTTGTCAATTGTTTTTTGTACTTAGCTATAGCTACAACAGAAAGGTAAAGCTAACATTTGGTTACGCCATACGACCTATGTTTCTATAGAGGTTTGGACAAAATATTATATATCTGTATGGGTTTAGGAATACAATCTTGGATCCATTAGTTTTCAGTTGCAATCGCTTGCAATAAAGAGAGCGAAATTGTCGCAAACACTTCTCCTGCCTTGTCTATAATTCAACATTACGAAAAATTTAAGAAACAAATTTGCGAAAAATTGGGTTTTAAGAGTAGAACTGTGGCCAAAATAATAACATTTCAAAATGCCGACATTTCTCTTGTTGGTTATTTCCGTTGTTGCGAAAAGTGTATTATTTTATTTTATTAATTTACCTATTGCATTCTATTTTAAGTATTTTTCCCTTATAAACGCATTAACTTAATCAATTGATGGTTAGGTACTGAAAATATCATATTTGGTAAAAATATCCAAAACTAAGGTCCCACAAATTGGTGTCTTTAAATGGATGAAATTGGTTTCTTTTTTCCACAACTAGTTTTACACCTAAATCGAAATACAAGATAAACTAATCATAGTTAAGATGATATTGTTCCTGTAACTGATCAGCACGCTAATATTATTAAACAAGTGTTTGGGGGGCCATTACTTCAATAAAAAGAAGATATTTTGGCAGTATTTTAACACCGAAACATGAATCGTAATCGGTTATACATAGTTTTGAAATGGATTTGTTATTTTTTAAAATGGAGAATTATCACAGTGTCTTGAAGTTACTGTAGTTCATTGTTGTTGTTTTTTGATAAACCATTTATCATATGAAAATGAAGTTGATTCTTTAGGCTCTAACTCAGATTGTGGAGATATGATTAATTTAACCAAAAAGGGAAATGTATGTAATTTGATGACTCAAAAGAAAATATTTTGGACTTCTGCAAGGCCGATAGTTTCAGACGTGAAGTTCTAGATAACTTCAATTTTTTGAAAAAAGATTAGGCTAAGACTCCAATCCGATGTTATCACAAATATTACTGCCCATACAAATAATTAGCCAATTGATATAATTATTATTCATCCAATGAATTACAAAGGTTGAGTACGTTAGATTAAAACGATTTTGGAACCTCGCCACGTCGTTACAGTTCGTGTCGCCATGTCCAGTCATGCTCTATTTGACGACTCTTCATCCTGACAATAACGCTTCAGCGTAGGTTCCACTGCAAAAGACTCCCTCGTAAATTTATGATGTTCTGTTGTTTTCTATAATATATCTAGTGTAGGAGAACAACGTTTTCACTGCGCCTGTTTCAACAGTCCTGACGCACAGAAATATGTAGGCGCTGCCTTCAGTGACTTAACCAGCTTATGTGTTTGTTATGGAGCACAATGCTATACAATGGACTATTTGTGGTCTAACCACTGCAGGTATCGGAACCCAATTTTTAGCGTTAAATCTTCAGACATTTCTTAATATGTTGCTTACTTGTTGTCTGGCGTACATTGACGCGTTTTCTCACCGACCTACGTGTTCGTGGATTTTTGTCTGTTAGAAGATGCCATACTTGTCTTACCAACGCTGGATTATCTTTTTCTGGCTTATCCCGGGTTCCCAAGCTCATTCACATTCCTTTGTTTTCCAATGCCATTAACTACAAAGAATAAACCAGTCTTAAAAAAATTAAATGTTCGATCTGATCATATCTTTATGATCTAATTGCATGAATATTTTGCATCAGAAAGGGCTGTTACATACTATTTGCAAAAGCGATCAATTCTGGTTATCGGCATACTTTGTAAACGTCAAAATATAGTTTTGATACATCCCATGCTAGTGCAACGTTTTATCGGTTGTGTTTGTCACGTGATTTGTTGATTTTGATATTAAAAATCGTGTATTTTCTGATTATTTATTCAACTAGTAATTTATTCTTCACAGGTAACTAGTTTTTATATTTTCATTTTAATATGCATATTCTAGTCATGCTGCCAATATTGATTAGGAAGCATTGAATAGCAAATTAGAATCAGAACGAAACACTCGGGTATTTACCGATTAATGAATCGATGAAATTGAAGTAGGCAAACCATTGTAATTTTATACTTATAAACATTTAAAATGCTAATTCACATTATTAATAATAATAATAACTTACCCTACTGAATGTCGTCTGTCCAGGGTGCCCTCTTCCGGCCAAATATTCTTGATACTGAGATACCACACACAGGAGACAATACACCTGTAAGCAGTATAAGTCACTACTTTTGAAAACAGTTGATAATTTTTTAAAGATAAATATATAATCAATATAAAATGGTAATTTATTATTATAAGAACACTATGAATGACAAAAAGTTTAAATGTTTACTTAGGTGTCCTTTTCTTCACCAGCATACATTTGGTTTAAGCCTTTTAAAACTTTTTTTTAAAATAACAAAATGTGTGATATTCATAAATTTCTAAGGTAAATATAAATTTAGTTGTACGTTGTATTCGTCAGCCTAAATATACTTCCATATAATTAATTACTAACATTTAATGAGACTATCCCTTCAACATACTTAAATACATGGATAAACGAATAAAAACTAATTTATTAGAAACGTGTTAAAAATACAGTACTTCATTTTAGAAAAATTAATGTATTTTATAAATGAAAATACTGTTCGTGATGTCTACCTCTAGGACGGGCACATACACACACTCAAGTATACACAAAACATTATACTTACGTTTAAAGAGCAGATTAGAAAATCCACTAAGAAAAATACTAGTAGCAAAGGATGAAACCTCTGAAATGAAACATCATAACTCGTTGAAAATAAAATCATCTGCGTTTAACTGTAAATTAATCAGTACACTACGTTCATATATGTGATGCACAAGTACACTCAATAATGTTTATGGTACTTAAACTCGTGACCTTCTGAAGAACGGTACCTAAACTGTTGTTTATAATATTATTGCACCGTATTATTTCTTGTTCGTTTGTTGTTAGAGTAATGGAAAAAGAAAACAACTTCATATATTCTCGCAGTTATAAAACTTCATCCTACTGATATTTTAAAATACTGAAAACAAACTTTTGAGGACGAGCTCATGCCGATAGCCTTTTGATCACATCTAAGCATGAAAAACTTAATGAGACTACTTACGGTATCACATAAAAGATACAAAGATAAGATCATGTAGATCAGTGTCGTCACTGTTGTGCACAGTATCCATGGTAACAGAAGTAGCTTGCTATCCTGGAAAAAATGTTTTGTTAGATTTATTTGCCAAAATGTGTAATATATATATATACATACATAAACACGTGTATGAACATTAAATAACAGTTCCATTATATTTCTTTATATAAAAATATTTCAAAAAATACAAGCTTGCTGCCATTTTATGTGCAAAAAGAGGATCAGTACGGTGTTTACCGAAAAACCAAAAATGACAACTTCTCAACAAGAAGTTACCTAAGGATGTAACAATGAACGAATAGGTGGACATAATTGGATATTCGCCACAGAGAAATCATTTATTCGGTACGTTTTCGTTACACCCCGCAATTTTAATAACTTTTCCATTATGCCCCTGGAATTTTGATAATTTACAAATATATAAATATGTATTTATATATATATATATATATATATATATAAGTATGCATTTTATTCATATAGTAAATGTCCATAGTAAATATCTAAAATATATTAATATACATTGTATCGATATAGTGAAAACTTATCATTTTTTCGGGGTTTGATGGAACAGTACCATTTATGCTGCTTACTATCGTGATTCAATATAAACTAATGAAAATTATTATTTTCCTCCCCAAAAATGTGCCAAGAAACGTTTAATAAATATTTTTTAGTTTATATTATAGCCACTTTAAGTTATTAATGTTGTTTCAAAAAAGACTGTGGATACCCTATGCCTATGCGTTAAGACGAACCAAAATTCGCCCCAGTTATTACACTCAATAAGAGAACATTTATGAAATTTTGAGGATTTTTTTTAAATGCTTTATAATTACGACAAACGCCGAGAGTTTTTGGAATAATTGTTATTTTTTTACACGGCTCAAGCATTGTCTGACAAAGGTTGCTTTCTCAAGTTCTGTTTTTGGGGAAATAATAGTTTACCCAACTCTCATACACCCAGAAGAAGCAGTTTACCAAACTTCCATACAAGTTTTGTATCGAGATACAATTGTTCTCCTGTTGACGCACTATTTTAACTTCAAAATTATTATTAACAGTAATATAACGGCAAATGGGACCAACGGAATTTGGTGCAGAATGAGCCAACTAACAAAACCAAAAGGGGTAAAGCCGATTGAAAATACGATGGTGTAGGAACCAACGGACACAAGGGCAGTGAGGATCCGACTGATTTAAAATAGAACAACAAGTGTGTTCCTCCTTAAAGTATTGGGGAATGTACTTGAATGAGAAAGAAGGAAAAGATGACTCCCATTTGTCAAGAAGCAGTCGACACCTAAAAAAATGTTAAAATCGGACACGTATATGTATAGAGAGTAAAGAAAGATTATTGCACATACAAGTCAAAGAAGAACCAGACATACACAGCGTGGTCACAAGTAAATAGACACCACTTTTCAGAAAAACAAAATGAATTTTTCAGTCATATTCACATGAATTGATATAGTTATAATTTAATTAATATCTAGTAGATATTCCTTTCGCTTCGTGGAGTTCGTTGATCCTTTGGAGCATCGTG